GAGGACTCAACAAGAACCGAATGAGCCGGTTCAACCAACTGTCGAAGTTTGCCGAGGATTACCGAGGACTCAACAAGAACCGAATGAGCCGTGGCAAAGTTTGCCGAGGATTACCGAGGACTCAACAAGAACCGAATGAGCCATGGCGAAGTTTGCAGAGGATTAACTAAGATTCTGATTGAGTTGACGATACTGTGCAAGCCTGAGGCACGTACTGGAAATATGCTTATTAATTTACATTTTATTAAAACCTGAGAAAAATCTTTCTGTCGAGTGATGTTAATATATTTTACAGTAGTTTATTGTGCATGCATTTTATATTTAAAGTTGCGTAAGTGAAATCAAGGAGTTTATAAGACTGGTTTATTCATTCTTTATACTGTAGACATGTAGAACATATCCGCGTTTGTGCATCAATGTCTGTAATGTGTGAAACTTTTAGGAATCTTATCCGAGTTGTAGGCTAGTCAATATTGCTCAGTCAGTCGTATCTGACATAAAGGATCAGCGAATGAAACTGTGATCACAAACACCATTAACAATAATCAGCAATATGCTTTCACACAAATAACTTTATTTTTTGAATCTTTCAATATGTGTTGACACAAATTACTTATTTGAATTTTTCATTGATATAACATTGCATTGAGTTGTTAGAAAATAAATGCATAGAGACGCTATTGCTTGATGACGTCAAGAACCGATGAATCGGCTTTTTGAACTGGTTCAAACGCGGATATGTTCAGTATAAAGAATGAATAAAGAATGAATAAACCAGTCTTATAAACTCCTTGATTTCATCTACAACACCCGTCTCACCCGCAAAGCCCTCTGCATTGCAGGTGATCCCACCCACCCGACACACAGCTTCTTCAGTCTGCTGCCATCAGGGAGGAGACTGCGGAGTCTCCAGGCCAGGACCAGCAGACTGAAGGACAGCTTCATCCATCAGGCTGTCAGGAAGCTGAACTCCCTCCCGACCATGCCCCCCCTCCCCTCTTTTGCCCCACACACCACTGAACTCTGACCCTCTGAAGGACTCTCCCACTCCCCCCTCCCAAATACACACACACTCTGTCACTTTAATCAGACTGAATAAGCTCTTTTGCACTACAAATCATTTTTTTGCACTATAATCATTATATCTGCACTGTTGTTTACTTTACTGGTTTGCACTCTCTCTGCCATATGCCTTGTGCTTTATATATATATTTTTACATTTTACCTTATTTGTATATTTGTATAGTTGTATTTTGTATTTAATCTGTATTTATGTTATCTGTATGCACCAAGGGTCTGGGAGTAACGCAATTTCAATTCTCTGTGTATGTGCTGTACATGTGGAAGAATTGACAATAAAGCAGACTTGACTTGAAGAGCTTGTAACACTCCAAAGTGAAAGGAAAAATTGAAATCGCATCATATGACCCCTTTAAAATAACCACTGGAACTTCTGGTTGGTTTGAAATTGATCTACCCAACTTCAGGGAGAAGTGTCCTTTGATGTTATATCCAGGATGGTGGAACGAAAGCAATGTTCCATTGGTTATTTTCAAGTGGAAGTGGGAGAATTTAAGTTCTAGTTGTCTTTAATGAGTATGACTGGAATGCTTTGAGGTCGGAAGTGGAAATTTTCAACTTGAGTATTCCCACCTCCAACTTTGAATTGAGAGCAGCATTTGATTATAAATACATAATAACTATTATTATATATATATACAAACCCAATTCCAAAAAAGTTGGGACAATGTACAAATTGAGAGTAAAAAAGGAATGGAATAATTTACAAATCTAAAAATAAACTTATATTTTATTCACAATTTGTACAGTGTCCCAACTTTTTTGGAATCGGGTTTATATATGAAACACTATTATTTTGTTCCTATAACAGAGAGCAGTTTTTGTGAGAGCTCAGAGCGAAATGAAAAACACAGTGTCTACAGCCAGTATCTCTACAAACAACTGCAAAATGTGGAGAGAGAGCTGAGACTGGTGGGGCCTTCATCCTTCTCTAAGCCAAACAGCTACAACCAGGCTGTATTGCAGGTCCAAGGCATGAAGAACCTACTTGAACCTCATGTCTCCTCCTGTTCTGTCAGTGGTCTACATACCCGTAGCTCCAGCCCTACAGAGGGCAACAGTGGAGACAGCAGAAAGTGTAGTCAGAAAGGCTTGCCCTGGTGGTTTGTGTTCGTTGGTTGGTTTCTTGTTGTATCCACCAGTGGTGTTTCAGCATACTTCACTATGATGTATGGGTTGACCTATGGGAAGGAGCGTTCCATCAGCTGGCTCATCTCAATGGTGGTGTCCTTCTTCGAAAGCCTCTTCATCACCCAGCCTGTAAAAGTAAGAGATGGAATAAAAAAGACAATTCTTGTCACCTTCCTTTTTGTATTTTATGATTGTATATTTATGTGTATTGTACATTACCACCTCCTGTGCAGCTTGTATTTACATGACATTGTCTGCTAGACGTTTTGTTACTACAGAGACCTGGACTTAATGAGATTTATTGGTTTCTTTAGGTACTGGGCTTTGCAGTCTTCTTTGCTTTGGTACTCAAAACAGTTGATCAAGAAGATTATGGAGATGTTCCGATTGATGGGACTCTACTCAGCACGGGTAACTGGATCATGAGCAACATGAGTAAATTTATAGCATCATATTATCACTTTTTTAGTGTGACAAAACCTCAGCTGAAACATCTGTCCACAGATGATCCCGATGCAATCAGAATTGCCAGAAGAGACAGCACATGTAGTTTCTATCAGCCTCCTCCTCCCACTGACATAGAAAAGATGAGAAACAACATGATCAAGGAGCAGAAAGTGTTTGCACTCATCCGGGAGATTCTCAGTAAGAAGAACATCATTTATCTATCATTAATCAAAAGATCAGCTTGTTTGACAGCCTTTTACGTTGCAGTTTATGTGGGATTCCTTTGGATGCTTCTCTTGGTTGCATATGGTCAGCGAGATCCACATGCATACTACCTCACTCAGCATATCCGGCAGAGTTTCAGCAATGGCATTTCAGAGAGTATGAACCACAAAGATATATTAAATTGGGCAAAATCCTCCTTGCTCAGTAATCTGTTTGGGCAATATCCAGGTATTCCTTCATTATGTATTGCCAACATTGTCTACTTATTCAAGGTTAAAAACTGCTTGTTTATTGTACCGAAATACCTAACTGTACCTTGTTGTTTGTTACCCTTTCAGGCTTCATAACAGATGGAAATTCAAAACTTGTTGGCAACGCTCGATTCCGCCAGGTTAGGGTAAGGAAAGACTCTTGTAAAATTGCCAAGACCATGCAGTACTCTGTTCCTGACTGCCATGCCCCATACTCCTGGGAAGCAGAGGACATGGGCTCTTACGGTCCAGGGTGGAACCGGACTAAAAATGTGAATGGTTCTAAGATTGTACCCACACCTTGGCACTACCAAACTCAGGCCAAACTCCGGGCAAACCCTGTTTGGGGTGGGCTGGCCCTTTATAAGGGTGGAGGATTTGTGGTGGAACTAGGCCCGGATCAAAAGAATGCAAGCAGGTAGAATAATGTGTAACAACGTGCAATGTAGTTTTAAAAGTAGTTACAACAGTTAATGTGTCCTTTCCTTCCCTACAGTCTTCTTCAGTATCTTTTTGACAACATCTGGCTGGACGTGTATACACGGGCTGTCTTTGTGGAGTTTACAGTTTATAATGCAAATGTGAACCTCTTCTGCATTGTGACTCTCATTTTTGAGACCACGGGAGTGGGTGAGGCATCTCTTCTCTATATCCTTGAAAGATTATCATGTTGTCAAAGGTTGGACTCATGGTAATTTTGTTGTTTTCATAGGTGCATTCCAATATCGTAGTGAGGTGCAGACTGTCCATCTTTATCAGTCCACTGGTGGCTTTCACGTATTTGTTATGGCATCAGAGGCCATCTATTTCCTCTTCATTCTCTACTACATGTTTGTGCAGGTCCGCTCGCTTATGGAACATTAAAATAAAATGGTGTAATTTGTATGGGGGTAGAATTGTTGCTTAATTCCAAATAAATAGATTATGATCCACAAATAAATAGAATGAGATCCACAAATAAATCTTAAAGTTTCACAAACATGAATTAAATTCACAAATAAATAAAATGAGATTTGCAAATAAAAAACATATTCACAAATATATATTTATGTCACAACCACAACTTTGCCTGGCATTTATTTGTAAATTGCGTCCTGTGCATTTGCGAATTGTGAAACATTTCTTGCGTCAAGACGTGCTGACAATCCACAAATACGTGGACTCCACCCACCGTCTACTCAAGCCAATCAGATAACAGCCACATTCACATACCAATCGTAGCACGATCTCGCTATAGCCAATCACATTTTGCTTTACAATCAGGGCGGTCTCGTCCTGAGAAAACTTCATTCATCTGCATTGGCTCAAATAGGTCATATAAGGGCCATACAATGGGTACAGTAAAAGATGTTTAAAACTGGATTTCGTTAGACCATTAGACTGTGTATCATGCCAAGCCACAGTATTTTATGTTACGTGCCTTTGAAAATGCCAGAGAAAGCTTTAAATCACGGCTATATGGGAACAACGCTATATAAAAAAATATAAATAAAAAATATATATATATATATATATATATATATATATATATATATATATATATATATATATATTACAGTTTAAAAGTATTTTTACATTTATAAAGCCATTTTTTTTTAAAGTGTGCCTCATCTTTTTGAGTCAAATTATTGCATATAATATGTCAATTAGAATAATGAGACATTTGGGCTGTTACCAAACCAATGGTATAAATATCAACGAAATTAATCTTTACAATGCAGAGGAAACAAGTTGCATCTGAAGTGACATTTAGATGTCACACTGTTTAATGCAGCTCAGAGGGACATGGGATGCTTTAACCTGCAGTTACAAATGCATAGATAATGTTTTGATATTGTAAACAAAAAACGTAGAATACTGACATCTGAAATTATTTAAAAAAATATAAATGTGAAATTTAAACCACCAGTAGATGCAGCAAGTCACTGTTAGAGTCATTGCGATCAGTCCACGTATTTGTGGATTGTCAGCACGTCTTGATGGAAGAAATGTTTCACAATTCGCAAATGCACAGGACATGGTTCACAAATGAATGCCAGGCAAAGTTGTGGTTGTGACATAAATATATATTTGTGAATATGCTTTTTATTTGCAAATCTCATTTTATTTATTTGTGAATTTAATTCATGTTTGTGAAATTTTAAGATTTATTTGTGGATCATAATCTATTTATTTGGAATTAAGCAACAATTCTACCCCCATAAATTTGCATCAGTTGAGCTGTAATGCACAGTATTTTGTGGATTTAACAGGGCAAACTGATGAAGCAGCAGAAATGGGCATATTTCAGAAGCAAATGGAATCTCTTAGAGTTGGCTATTATCATTCTAAGTTGGAGCGCATTATCTGTGTTTGTCAAGAGGACAATATTGGGTAACCGGGACATTGAGTACTACCAAAACAACAAAGACATGTGAGTGAAAGTCTTCAGCTCTTCAAGATTAATCAGCATGTTTGGAATGGAATACTAGACTTCTATATCCTGCACAATATACACTTTATGTTTGAAAATTCTTGAGAAATAATACAGCTGCTTCTCTAACAGGTTTGCCAGTTTTTATGAGACTGCCACTGCAGATGCTGTACTAGGCTATCTGACAGCTTTCTTAGTACTGCTGGCCACCATAAAGCTGTGGCATCTGCTGAGACTCAACCCCAAGCTACACATGATCACCTCTACACTGCAGCGGGCATGGACAGATATCTCTGGCTTCATTGTGGTCATGACCATCATGTTTCTGGCCTATTCCATTGCTGTGAGTATGTGATGTTCTTTAACATAAAATGAAAATAGACCAGAAACGGTGAAATCCTGAAGAGTTTAGCTCTAGCCCTGCTCCAACACAACTTCCTGTAGTTTTCAAGGGTAGGATCGAAAAGTTTTGGCAGCTGACTTGTTGCTTCACTGCCCTATCAGGCAATGACAGAGTTTGTGCACTAAGGTAGTGAAGGATACATCTATGCTGCCTTCCACAATCAATCAGATGAAGGTATCAGTAGACAGCATGTGACACAATCACTGGATTCGGTGCCTTGTTGCCTTTGTATGCTACCTGCAGAGGCAGCATTTTTCAGCTTTTAGAGACAGCCAAGTAATCCTGAAGGACTTGATTAGCTGCATCGTGTGTCTTATTAGGGTTAAAGCTAAACTCTGCAGGACTGTGACTCTTCTCAAACTGAGTTTGGCCTACAAGCTCCTGAAAGGACAGTGGTCTCAAACTCAGTTCCTGGAGCGCCACAGCCTTGAAGAATTTTGCTCCAACTCGTGTGCTAGGAAGTTTCTAGTAATCCTGAAGGCCTTGATGAGCTTGCTAAGGGGTGTTTAATTAAGGTTGGAGCTAAACTCAGCAAAGCTGTGGCCCTCCAGGAACTGAGTTTGAGACCACTGGTCAATAACATGAGGAACAGACTGAAATGCACGCTATTTGCTGGAGATTTTGATTGCCACCATATCTCTCTTTTGCAGGCTGCACACAATCAATTTGTACTCGCATTTGTCTGAAAGTTTTATATTTTGTATTTCATAAGTGCAATTTGATGTACGGTTGGAGGCTCTACTCATACAGAACTCTGCTTGATGCTGCACAGACCATTATTTGTCTACAACTGGGTATCTTTAACTATGATGAGGTAAAAATAAAGACCTATACTGAATTTGTACTCACTGCTAATGTGTTTAAGAACTTATATTATTAATTGTATCGTTTCCTTCTCCCTACAGGTTTTGGATTACAATCCAGTCCTGGGAGCTTTCCTGATTGGATCCTGCATTATCTTTATGACATTCGTAGTTCTCAACCTCTTTATATCTGTGATTTTGGTGGCTTTCAATGAAGAGCAACTTCATCCCACTGTAAATCTCTCATAATCAATTAATCCAGTGCTGTGCCACATTTTCGCCTTTCTAAATCATTTAATTAAGTCTATCTCTTTTCCCTCAGCCTTCTGAAGAAGAGGAGATTGTAGACCTGATGCTGATGAAGATCTGCAGTCTTCTTGGCATCAAGTGCAAGAAAAAGCAAATTGGTGCAGATGCTTCTTTGACTACAGCTTCAGTCATATCATAGAAATGAGGCACGTCTTTATAACCATGTGACAGTCAATGTAAGCTTTATTCTAAAATGCCTTTTGGTGTTTGGATGCTTAGTAATTGTTCTTGTACATCTTAAAAAGCTTTTCCCCCCCCGATTTTTATCTTGCAGAATGTTTCCATTAGCTGTTTGAATGTTTGTCAGTGCTATTATTACAAATATTAAGCATGAAATATGCAACTCCTCTGAAAGTTTTTGTCCTACTACATTATTGCATTACATCTATCAAGGCGTCAGCATTTCTGAGCGGATAACAGACGAAAAAGGGTAATTTCAAAAAACAACCTGCAGTAAAATTACTATCTGGGGAGTTAACAACTAATTCAGCAAACACACTGCGCGCAAGGTATTTATCCATAAAGGTATCTGAATCCTACATGCCATTGTTTATGGCCTGCAGCATAAAGTTGCTGACATGCACTAAATGTCTGTGTTCTAGGAAAATTTCCCCCATACCAACTGGCTCAGTCAATCACCTCAATGGCTTACATTAAAAAAGTAGCCTGTGATTGTTTTTCATGTCTCAACCACCTATTGCTTAAGCAGGACAATAAGCTCATTCAAATAACCATGAAAAATAAGGAACAAAATGGCCTTTGTGTGCCCAGCCATTATTAAATGTGTAGCATGCATGCACCAGCAAAAAGACCCAAATCAGTCAGTCTTACAAATTATTGACAAAGTTTAAAATCGAATTCATCAGTATGCGTCACATATTTTGGGAGTCTATAGCCTTCCAAAACCATATGCAAAATGGTTGTGAAATTTGGTATACTTGTGGGACAGGGCATTACTGGTAGCAATTTTGAAGTCTCTCAAACTTTCCAGCACCACTGACCGTTTTGGCTTCCATTTCTGTTCATAATTCATTGAACAGAGCGGCCTGGAAATATATTCAGTGCACTTGGTTCCAATTTTCACCCACACATTTTGACATTTTCAACATAAACCACGCATTTTAAACACCCATGATGCATCTGATTTTCTCCACATTTGGGTTGGATAATTTTGATACACCAAATAATTTCTGTATAGCGCTGGGATCCTCATTCCTAATGCTGGAGAGCCACTTTCCGAAAGTTCAGTTCTGCCGCTTCATCAGTTTGTCTTGTTAAATCCAGATGACATTGCGTATTATGGCTTCACTGATGCACCATCCTATTTCAGTGTTCCACGAAAGAGCTAACCTGCACAAAAAATTTGTATAGCAGATAATAAAGAGGAAATAGGGGGCCTCTGATGCCATAACGGATACATGAAAGCCATCATTGTACTGATAAAGATGGACAGTCTGTACATCACTAGGAGAACTTATCCTACAACTTTTATTTTGATTTTCTTCACATTTGGGTCAGATAACATAGTTATCAAAGCTTTTTGATAGACCAAATAATTTGTGTAACAAAGGGATTCTCATTTCTGATCTTGAAGAGCTACTTTGATACAGGAATGGAAAGCAGGAAGTGAGGCTATATTTTAAAGCTCTGGTGTACTGAAGTAAACAGGACCATGACAACTGTAGAATAAATTGGTCTTAAATCATGTTGCTTATCACCATATAACCCCAGGTACATGCAAAACAATGCATCACATGTTCTAAACAATGGCATAAACTTTTTGCTAATCCTACAAGAACAGTCCAAACTGCACAAAGTTTGCTCAGATTAGGGGTTTTCAAACTGTTCATGGAGCCTCCAAAGCACCTTTTGGATGTCTCCTTTATTGGACATACCCAGTCAGGTCATGGAGTGTTAAATAATGGAAACATCCAAAATGTCCAGGAATAGTTCGAAAACTCCTGGATCAGATTCAGACAAAGTCAAAAACATGACAAATTTTTCCTTGTTATTTTCACGAAAGTTAAGCCAATTCTTGGTATGGACAAGACCATGCCTTAAAGCAGGGCTGTCCAAACTCAGTCCTGGAGGGCCGGTGTCCTGCAGAGTTTAGCTCCAACCCGAATTAAACACACCTGAACCAGCTAATCAAGCTCTTACTAGGCATAGAAACTTCCAGTCAGGTGTGTTGAGGCAAGTTGGAGCTAAACTCTGCAGGACACCGGCCCTCCAGGACCGAGTTTGGACAGCCCTGCCTTGAAAGGATTAGATCACTTCTGAATTAAAATTCTCATCCCCTTGTCATCCAAGATGTTCATGTCTTTCTTTCTTCAGTCGAAAAGAAATTAAGGTTTTAGAGGAAAACTATTCTCTATATCAGGGATCCTCAAATCTGGCCCACGAGATCCACTTTCCTGCAGACTTTAGCTCTAACCCTAATCAAACACACCTGTGCATGCTAATCAATGTCTTCAGGATCATTAGAAAATCACAGGTAGGTGAGTTTGATCAGGGTTGGAGCTAAACTCCGCAGCGCATTGGCCCTCCAGGGCAAGATTTGAGGAACCCTGCTCTATAGTGGACTTCAGTGGGGTTCACTGGGTGGAAGGTCCAAATTGCAGCTTCAAAGCATTCTACACGAACCCAGACGAGGAAGAAGGGTCTTATCTAGCGAAATGATCAGCCATTTTCTAAAAAATAATAAAATTGATATACTTTTTAACCTCAAACGCTTGTCTTGTGTAGCTCTGCAATGCGCATGCGTACTCTGTGCAGTCCCATTCGAAACAGTTAGGGTAGGTCGAAAAACTCCCATCTCATTTTCTCCTCCAACATCGCTGCAGAAGTACCGACCCAGTGTTTACAAAGTGAACGTGCAGAGAAGGTCAAACGCCCTTTACAAAAAAACGGTAAAACAGCGATGTAGGATGATTTAGAACGATTTTGAAATTGGAGAAAATGAGGGGAGTTTTTCGATATACCCTAACTGTCATGAACTGGAATGCACAGTTAATGCAGAATTAGACAAGACGAGCGTTTGAGGTTAAAAAGTATATAAATTGTAATTTTCTTTTAGAAAATGACAGATCGTTTCGCTAGATAAGACCCTTCTTCCTCGTCTAGGATCGTGTAGAACACTTTAAAGCTGCAATTTGGACCTTCCACCCAGTGAACCCCACTGAAGTCCACTATATAGAGAAAAACCCTGGAATGTTTTCCTCAAAAATCTTAATTTCTTTTCGACTGAAGAAAGACGGATGACATGGGGGTGAGAAAATTATGAGAAAATTTTAATTCAGAAGTGAACTAATCCTTTAAGGGACTCTTTATTGGCCACATTATTGCTGCTTGCAGCTATGTTCTCTGATTGATTCAGTTCTTACCCACATGGGGTCCAATAAAATTAGAAAACTACTAGCCAATCCTGGGGTGCGTTTCCCATACAACAACGTAACTCACTTCTTAACTACAATAGTATGATGCTTTGTTGGAGAAACTAATTAGCTAGTTACAACTTTTTTCCGAAACAGTAGCAACATGGTCGCACCTCCGTCGTTTGAACAATGTTGGTTCAACATGGACTTTCGTTAATGATGTCACATAGGTAAAGTAATAAACTCTGCTCACCAATTGATTATAAATCACAATTAATGTCAGATTAATGCAAATTAGACAAACATGAAGCTGTTCATTTTTGAATCACTTTAACACGCAGTAATTGCCATTCATGGTTCAGTCAGCAGCTTTCTCCTAAAAGTAACTTCTCAGAGAAGCTGCCGTTACAAACGTGGCTTCGAAGGACAACTTCACTGTTTTTGAACCGATTCGTATTGCTTCGTTATTCAATGTTTGATTCATCGCAGCTTCCCTCTTGCGTCATACCAGCATAAAGGGCTGCCCACTGCTCCGGGTGTGTGTTCACGGTTTGTGTGTGTTCACTGCTGTGTGTGTGTGCACTTTGGATGGGTAAATGCAGAGCACTAATTCTGAGTATGGGTCACCATACTTGGCCACATGTCACTTCACTCACTCATACTCCAGGGTTCCCTAACACATTTACTCACTCTTCAAACATGGCCTGATTGTTCGCGCGCTAAAAAATAGATTGAAATGTATATGTATTTAAATGAAATTAAAGATAGTAGTTCCATCCACACAAGTTTGCAAATTAATGCGTGTTGGAACTACAGATTTGGGAAACAGAGAATCATTGAACTATGTTAGTAATGACAGAAACCGCGACCATAGTTGGCTAATGATGCCTTTGGGAAGTGCAGCCCAGATAGCAAAGAAACGCCACCAATAACAAATGACTGGCGAATCGCATTAAAGGCAAATTACCAAATTAAAGGCGAATCGATCAAAAAATATCAAATTTAAAGCGGTTTTTTTTTAATGTTGTGTATAATGATGGTTCATCCATACATCAACCAAATGCTTGAAACATCCTTAAATCATGCTCCAATGACTTACAGTGCTTGTAACAATATCTTCATCCAGATCGAACACCAAGTGCATTTCTTTTGGAGCCTAAAACATTATCATTACAAGCAGCAAATGATTGCCACACACTACTATTGAAGCCCTCTGAACACCAAACATTATAGGAGAAGTCACCGTCCAGGTAACAATGTTCCAATTCTTAAATAGTTTTCAACGGAGTTAAAAAAATTTGCAGTCTGATACAGAAGGCTAAGAGACCTGAACAATATGAAAGTGCTAGTCATTAATTTACAGAGATCAGGCATCACATAGTGCTATGACAAGTATCCAATATGCTACATTTGAATACACGTTGACACCTTACAAATGCCTCTGGTTGTTTGACCAGGCAACTTAAAAATCAAGTGCCTTGGCTAGTTATGTACAATATGAGATTTGATTTTTTTTTGTGTGTTTTTTTGATGAAGAAAAACATTGACACACTACTGCCAGAGGTATAATCTTGAAAAGGCCCTTTGGCCCATACAGTGACAATGATTTTAACATTATGTCTCAATTTCAATTCATTAGCCCCCGTAGTATGTGTGTGGAAGCTGCCATTATGGTATCCCTCTTATTTTTGGATTCCATAAGACAACATTGTTCATAGCTTTTTTTTTTCTCCCCCACTTGCTTAGCGTTCAAGTTCTTGGTTTGTTTTCCCAGGCATTGGTTGCCTTCCCACATCTTCTGGTGCTGTTTAAATTTGATAGTCAGATTGAAGAGTGAGAGAGAAGAACCAGTTCTGGAACCACTATTTCAGGGAGCAACACAAGTGTTTTCATTTCACTACATTCAGTCACAGTTAGAAAGGTGAAGGGAAAGAGAGGACTCAATTCATCCCAGGGGCGCTGCCACCAAAGTTGAAATTGGATGGCACCACCGGATCTGCAAACTTGTATCCTCCATGCTTCTCAATCATCTTTGATTCTAAAAATCAATCGGAAACATAAGTAAAAATTGGGGAAAAAATCATCAGGCTGAAGAAATAAGTAACATTTTGGCAGCATATTAAGACACCACATTTCGATTAATCTGGACACATCTTTTTTTTCCTCTACATGTTGGCCTTTTGTCCACACGGAAATGTATTTTTGTACAGTAAAAACAGAAGTCACTGTTGCTAAATTTGAAAACTTGTAAATTTTTTAATTTTTAGAGTAGACTGTGAAAACTGGGGTATTTGAAAACAATGATGCACGTTTAGTCGTGGCGCATATTTTACGCATAATGTAACAATGCTTAAGTACTTTGTACAACCTTGACAATATTTACTCGGAATTGCTGTCCTTTGACCGTGCATAGAAAGTTTTTGATTTTGAAATGATTTTTCCAGAAGAATAACTTTACATCTGGCCTCTCTGTATTATCTCAATGTTGATGATTTACTCATGCGCAGTGATTTAAGACGGGTCAGCGTGGACTAGTAACTTTTGCAAAACACTTAAAAACACTAGCGTGGACCTTTTTCAAATGTATTTGGCTTAATGTGTACATGGCTTTTCACGGACTAGCATAAAGTAGGTTTTGGGTCCAATATCTGCCAGAAAAATACTACATTAAATATTGGTCATCAAGTGGGATAAAGTGCTGCGCAATCAATTTCCTCGCTCAGCTTTTTTTTTTTTGCCTCACCATGTGCTGCTCGTCGCTGATCTGCAAGTGTTGCAATATCCTGAAGTTGTTTTCTTTGTTCCTCATCGAGACACTGTGTGAGCAACTGGTACCATGCTGGGTCACGGCCCTGGACATCTAGAGGAAAGAGAGCAGTCTGTCAGTAAAACACCCTTTTATAGTGGCTCATTTCATTCATACGGTAGATGAAACCCATACTCTGGATTATGGCTTTGAAGATCTGGTATTCATCAACAAGGTTGTCCTCGTCGTCCACTGAGGTCGTGTAACCCTCAAGAGCGGTCTCCTCTGCGTCATCCTCCTCCCAGTCTTCATCGTCACCGTCCTCTCCTGCTTGTTTAGCTAGCATTTCAAGGTATTCCTGGCCTTCATCATCTATGTCATCTTCATCACTGCCCAACTCGGCTGCATAGATACACAATGAGTCCCATGTCAAAATTACAGTTCATTACTTTGAAACAACAGCAGGAAATAGAGCAATTTACTCAAATATACCAATTCACTCATTTTGATGTTCCATTTTCAATGTAATAAATTAACTGGAAAAAATACAAGCTTGACTCTTTATTTGATCCAACTAGATTGTAAAAATTTTTATAAAAAATAAAAATGGTTGTATTTTCATTTAAGAATTTCAACATTCCCTTATTTTACTATTACTATAAAGCTGCTTTCAAAAAATCTGTATTGTATAAAGAGACAAATTAAAAAAAAAAAAGACCTCACTAATGTTTGAAATGTTTCTTTTTTCATATTATTTGTTCTACATAGTATAAAAAAAAGGTATGCAGTATCCATATTGAAAAATGCAATGTATAACTAAATGACTAAATATTACTGCAATTACTCATTCATTTTATTCAGAAGACTGAAATACTGCTGCTACGTAGATAAAAGACTTATGATTTGGTAAAGCTCATTTACCATTCTCCTCTTCCTCCTCTCCGTCCTCAT